AGGAGGGGTCGCTATGAGTCGGGTCTGACTCGACGGCACATAACAGCAACAACAGTGTCACAGTAGTTAAAGCACTGAGCTATGAACTTAAAAGTTGGTTCTTCAAAAATACCAGCTGTTCCATGGCAGTAATACATGGCAGTCTGCTTCCATAAAGATTGCCGCTTTGGAAACCCTATAGGGCAGTTCTACTCAGTCCTATGAGATTGCTATGAGTCAGAATCGACTTGAAAGCAGTGGGTTTTTGTTGGTGGTGATACAATGGTTAAACACCTGGCTAACCATGTTGTTGAAAGGTCAGCAATATGAACCCACTAGCCACTTCACTCTGTGGGCAAAAGGACCTGGCAATCTGCTCTAGTAAACATTGTAGCCTAGGAAACTTTATGGGCCAGTTCTACTCAGTCATATAAGATCACTAGGAATTAGAATCAACTCAACAGCACACAACAATGAAAGCATTTTTTGTAAGGGGGGGGGCACCTCATTTTCTTTTCTTCTTCCTTTTTTTTTTTCTTTTTAAATTGTGATTTGGGTGAAAGTTTACGGAACAGATTCATTTTCCATTCAACCATTCATACAGATTTTGTAGTATAGCAGCTCTCTTCCCATTTCCTCCCTGTGGTTACCTTTTCCCTGTGTCCATCTTTCCTCTGCATTCCTCCCCTCTGAGTTGTCTCCCTGTGAAAAACAGTTTTTTATAAGATCATCTAGTTTTTCCAATGGTAGGTCTCTGACATAGGCATACAAGGGGTTAGGATTTGGGAGGAGAAAGAAGGGAACAAAGAGGAAAACAAAGTTTGAGGTATACATTAAAGTAAAATAAACAAACAGAAAACCCAAATCGTAATAACTTGTCATAACGAATATTTATTTCTTACTCACATAGTGGGAAGGAGGCAGAGGGAATTTGCTTGTGCTATCATTAAAAAACTCAGGCTGAGAATGGTTCTGTCATTTTCATCGAGGGCTGATACTGTCTCCCTGAGAATTTAAAGATGGAGGAAACAGCAAATGCAGGAACCTGCAGGAGGGTCCTCTGGCATGAATTCCATTGTCCAAGTTTAGTCACATGATCACACCTAATTGCAAGGGAGAATGAGAAAGGTGTTCAAGAGGAAAGGGAAATCAGTTTGGTGAACACCCAACAGTTTTTCCACAGGAATTTAAGTAAAAGGAAGGGTCTAGGGAGAATGCTACTGAAAAATTCTAGGTAGTGAAAGGAAGGAACGAATGAAAGAATGAAGGAAGGAAAGAAAGGCACTTCGGACTGTGGAAAGAGTGAGGAAAGGGAAGAGAAGGGATGAGAATTGTTGTTGTGGTTGTTGTTGTTAGGGGCCTTCAAGTCAATTTTTGACCCAAAGATTCATGTGACAGAATAGAACTGCCCCATAGGGTTTTCTAGGTGGTGCAGTGCTTAAGACATTTGACTGCTAACTAGAAGTCTGGCAGTTCAAACCCATCAGCTGCTCTGCAGAAAGAAGATGGGGCAATCTATTTCCATAAATATTTACCACTGCTATGAGTCTGAATTGACTCAAAGACAATGAATTTGGTTTCTTTTAATCCTTGCAAGGAGCAGAGCATCAAGTCTTTCTTCATGGACCCTTTGTTGTTGTTGTTGTTATGTGCCGTCGAGTCGGACCGACTCATAGCGACCCCCCTCCTTGGGTTTCCGAGGCAGTATCACTACGGAAGTAGATTGCCCCATCTTCCTTCCGGGGAGTGGCTGGTGGGTTTGAACCGCCAACCTTCTGGTTAGCAGTTAAGTGCCTTACCCACTATGCTACCAGAGCTCCCATGTCAAGGGATTAGCACAGTATTTTTTATTGTTGTTAGCTGCCATGAAGTTTACCCTTGACTCGTGGTGACCCCATGCACAACAGAATGAAACACTACCTGGGCTTGTACAATTCCCATGAACAGTTGCAGTGCAGACCATTGTGATCCATAGAGTTTTCACTGGCTGATTTTCCTCTGTAAATCACCAGGCCTTTCTTCCTCATCTAGCTTAGAGTGGAAGCTCTGCTGAAATCTGGTCAGCATCATAGCAACACATAAGCCTCCACTAACAACTGGATGGTGGCTGTGCATAAAGTCCATTGGCAGAGAATCGAACCTGGGAGCACATGTTGCTGTTGTTGTTAGGTGCCATTGGATTGGTTCTAAATCATGACAACTCTAGATA